TGTAATAATGTATAAATAATGTCCCAAACCATTTTGACTCCATACTGGAATTTGGACTGGCAGGTGGACAGGTAAATTTGGGCGGTGACGTCATTTATTTTTCTCGAGCTTCGCTAAAGAATAGAATATTTTCGCTACTGTGAGCGCAATTTCAAGGTACTTTTCGTCATGAAAGCAATCAAAATCATATCTATTTCTGTAATATATCTTTCATTTATTAAATTTAGACCGAAAAAATCAGAATAATAACCATAACAGCCATACAAAAAATATACCGCTAAACCCGCCGCTAATGGCTTTAGAAGTGAACTCCGCTATTTATGGAAGATTTCTTTCATTTTTGGTGTAAAGCGAGAAGTATCTTTCCATCATACATTGCCCAAGTTTGAATAAGATAACCCCACAAAAAAACTGAGAAAATAATAATAATAAATAAAAATATAATAATAATAATAATAATATCTTTATTTACTACACGTACATGTACAAGGGTATACAGGCCTAGCTGACATCAGTAAGTAAGTAAGTTTATTCAGGTTACACAAATACAGTTACATAGAATACATACATAGCAGCATATGTGTAGAGAACTAGCATAACCAAAAAAGTCAGACAGAGTGACTTATTTCCATTGGGGGCCTTTTACCTTATTATAATATAAATGTTATAATATTTTTCTTATTATTCTATAATGAAGATAACATCTTATTATCATACTTAAAAGACTATCTACATTGAGGGTCATTAAACTATCTACAATACAGGGTCACTATCTACAATACGAGTAACTACCACTGTATAGAAAGGCACTTGTTATGCTGAGTATTTCAAGAAAAATTAGGTCAGTGTTCCAGGGATAAACACCCAAAACTAGTCGACTTTTCACCCAGGTACCCATTTACTGATTGGTAAAAAATAGACAACAGGTGTAAAGAAACACGCCTAATGTTTTACCAAAATCATATATGGCTAACCCAAGCCAGGTACTAAAAATAAGCCACATTGACTTTTTTGGGGTTATCCTAGGTTCTCTACACATATGCTGCTATGTGTGATACTCTATATAGAGAAAATAACTTTTTTGTTTTATGTTTATGGTGGAGTAACGAGTGTAATGTCATAGTTAGCCCTGTTTTCTATACTCCGTTTTCTCTAATATAAGCCCCAAGACAAGGATACGAGAATGGTATTTGTTTACCATATCCTCTTCATACCTCCGTCGAGTTGCTCGGTGTTATGCCAAATATTATTCATTCTGGAGTATTTAACATGTTTTATGTTATTTATATTGTTTATTATGTCATATTAGATCAATTGTGATAGGCAAATAAGCTTTTAGTGTTTAAAATTAGCATAATAATAAAGCATATTCTCCTGCTTCATGAGACTGAGCTCATGGCAACCAACAGTGGCTTCAAAACCACCTTATCTTTATGGATAATGTACTGTGTAGGTTTCTTTACCCTAATGGAAGCATTTCTTTTATTCATTGGAACCCTGGCTAGGGCTAAAAGTAAGCAGGTTAAAAACAATAAATGGAGAAAAAAAAAATTGGAATGACTTATGCAGCAAGTAGAGCCACCAAACAGTACCAGCAGGGTTTGGGGTGGCGACCCTGGAAATTTTGAAATTATGCTAGCCAAAAAAATTTGTGCCGAATAACTGAAGAAACCGAATAACTGATTGCCGGATTTGTGATGGCGGACCTGTATATAGAAAGCTGCTTGTTATGCAGAGTATTTCAAGAAAATTAGGTCAGTGTCCCAGGATAACACCCACACTAGTCGGCTAACAACCAGGTACCCATTTACTGATGGGTTTAAAAATAGAAAACAGGGTGTCAAGAAACACGCCTAATGTTTCTACCCTGGCTGGGAATCGAATACTATTTACCAAAAATCATATATGACTAACCCAAGCCAGGTACTAGAAACAAGCCATGTTGACTTTTTTGGGTTATCCTAGGTTCTCTACACATATGCTATGTGTGATAATCTATATAGAGAAAATAACTTTTTTTTCCAGGTTTATGGTGCAGTTTCGAGTGTAAAATCACAGTTTTTGCCCTGTGCTACACTCCATTTTCTCTAATATAAGCCCCAAGACAGGGATAGGAGAATGGTGTTTGTATACCATATCCTCTTCATACCTCCATCGAACTGCTCGGTGTTATGCCAAATATTTTTATTCTGGAGTATTAACATGTTTTATGTTATTTATATTGTTTATTATGTCATATTAGATTTAATTGTGATAGGCAAATAAGCTGTAGTGTTGATATTAGCATAATAATTTAAAACATATTCTCCTGCAACATGATACTGAGCTCATTGGCAACCAACAGTGGCTTCAAAGACACCTTATCTTTAAGGATAATGTCTTTTGTAGGTGCTTTACATAATGAGAAGCATTTCTTTTATTCATTGGAACCATGGCTAGGGCTAAAAGTAAGCAGGTTATAACAATAAATGGAGAAAAAGAAACTGGAATGACTTATGCAGCAAGTAGCACCACCAAACAGTACCAGCAGGTTGGTGTGGTGACCCTGGAAATTTGAAATTAAGCTAGCCAAAATTAGTGCCGAATAACTGAAGGAACCGAATAACTGATTGCCGGATTTGTGATGGCGGACCTGTATATGAAAGAGAAACTTTAATTTAGTCTTAAATGTACAATTCTAAAGATTCGGATTTTTAAATTATTTAATACAGGAAGCCCTCCACATTCGCGAGGGTTAGGGGATCAAGAACCTTGCAAATCTTGAAAATTCATGAATGTCTGGTGCACAAATATGATGTAGGGAAATATAATAATAGCATTTACTTAGCCTAACAATACTGCTTCCTTAATCTATTGAATCACGAACAATCATAAAACACATGAAAACATCATAAATAACATTAATAACAAATAATGAACAAACAAAACACTCACCACTCATAAGGTTAGGCAGACAAACTCTGATGACTTGTGATGATGATGATGATGATGATGATGATGATGATGATGATGATGATGATGATGATGATGATGATGATGATGATGATGATGATGGTGGTGATGATAGTCAGCCATGCAGTTACTGATGACAGTTGAATGGAGGTGATTATATGAAGTGTAACTGCATGGCATGATGAGTCTAGTGTGGATTCTAACATTCAGTGCCAGCGTCACTGCCGACATCACTAGAGACTGAGTTAGCATGCGGCAGGAAGCATTTTCCCATACTTTTTTCCTGCATTTGTTTGGTAAATATAATTTGGGTGACTGCATTTCGCAAATTTTCAAAGCTCCCAAAAGTGGAACTCACAAAAGTGGAGGGATAGCTGTATTTTAAAATTTACTATTCAGTTACATGCCAAGTCTTGATTTCTTCAATTTCACAATGAACCAACTTTTATGGCTATTCTTTATTTCTTTAACCCTTAAACTGTCCAAACGTAGATCTAAAATTTACTCACACAGCGCTCCGAATGTAGATCTACATTTTTTTACATTGTTTCTTATGGAGAAAATCAAGGTTGGGCACTACGCACACAAACGTAGATTTACGTTTGGACAGTTTAACCCCCTTTAATGTCGCAACCTCCAATACTGAGGTGTCTCCTGGTGTCACAAAATTTACAAAAAAAAAATTATTTTCTCTTATGAAACGATAGAGAATCTTTTCCCGATTGTAATGACAACAACAACAAAAAAATTTGATGGAAAACTGACGGAATTATGCTCTCGCGAAGTTAGCGACCTTTGTGATACGTATTTACAAATTGGCGATTTCGCCCACTTTGAGCCCTATTTTCGGCTAATTCCATTGTTCCAGTTGACCAAACTCACAGCTATTTCTTTAGAACTCCATTTTTTCTATCGATTGAGTACAAGAAACTGCCCATTTACCGATTTCAACTACCCAATAACGTGGTCAGAAATTTGCAATTTGGTCAATTTCACGAAAATTAAAAAATATGACAATTTCAAATTAAGGTCCAGAATGAACACTGCACACATTCCTGGCTCTAAAATAACATTTTCTTTGTTCATCAGTCATGTCTCAAGGCCCCTCTGATATTACTCTTGCTTTCTATTTTAAATTTTTATTCAAACAAAAAATAGAAGATTTACTGTTATGCAGACTACTGTAATAATTGTACAAATAATGTCAACCCTTTTATGACAGCATATTAGAATGGCTAGTTGGACATTTATTGGACAATGACATCGTTTGTTTACTTTTGAACATTGGCAGAAATTAAACATTTCCCCTACTTTGACCTCCATTTCCAGGTTCTTTTTATAGTAAAACCAATCAAAATCACCTCTATTTCTATAATATGTTTTCCATTCTATCAAATGAGACCAAGAAAACGAAAATACAGCCATAAATACTATACGAAAATAGAGCACAAAGTTGGCATTTTAATTAAAAAAAAACGGTCAGTGTTTTTTTTTTCTCATTATGCACTGCGTGCTCCAGGATGTTTTTATATGGTGCACACTGACCACACAGACCCATTCTCTCACATGTGGGCCTACCAGCTTTCTCCTGCTTGATTTGAAGCCGCTAGAATTTATGAGTATACATACGTCAAACACGGTACCTCGTAAGACGTATGTATACAACCAAAACAGTCAAAGGGTTAAGGGTTAAAAGCACCTGCTTTTTCTGTACTTTTGACAAGGAGGGCACTGATCCTGGAACCATCAACAAGCAGACACCAAATACTATTTATTTTTTTTAATCACACAGACTCTTTCCCACCAAGGTAGGGAAACCCAAAGATAAAACTCATTGTTCATATATTATATATTTTGCCAGAAGTGCATGGACATCACAGATTGAACAACTCCCTGAACTGCAACATTTCCACCAATCCTTGAGTGCAGGCACTGTACTTACTACCTGAAGAACACCTTCAGTTATGTCTGCAACATCAAAAGTGAAATACAAAGAACACCTTCATCTTGCTCACACAGCACTACCTCGTCACTTGTAAATGCTTTACCTTATAGTGAATAGTGTGACCGGTGAAAACAGCATGAAACATAAGTCTGCGGCCCAGGAGGCCCCTAGAACTGAGGGCGCCACAGGAAGGAGTGGGAGACGCCACACATGAAGCCCTGCTACTAACACTGAGCCATTTAACTCAAAAGCCCATGTGCCATATCTGTGGAGAGAGATTATAAATAAAAAATTTATACATATTTTGTACTCTGATGCATTATGCAGGCCTACCTCTCTTAGTTGAAAAAACAAAATAGTTCTAAAGATACATGCATATTTTCCAAAATTAAATTTAGAGTTCTCATTTGTCTTTGAAAAATCTACACTTCAGTCATTATGAAATAAACTGTCACCCTTTCAAGGTCGGAACCCCTGATCTGGTAATTGCTCAGGGTTGAAGAATTTAAAAAGCAAACAAATTCTTATGAAACAATAATCTTTTTCTAAAGCTAATGAAACCAAAAGTATGAAATTTGATGGAAAACTTATGGAATTATGTTCTTGCAAAGTTAGCAGTCTTGGCTATATACCTACCTACCTATACATACATATCAATGATTTCAACCACTTTGAGCCCTATTTTTGGCCAATTCCATTGTTATAGTCAACCAAACTCAGAGCTATTTCGCTAGTATTCCTTTCTTCTGTTGAATGAGTACAAGAAACTGCCCACTTACCTATTTCAACTACCCAATAAAATGATCAGAAATTGGTAATTTGACCAATTTCACACAAAGTTCGAAAATTGCCAATTTAAAAATATGGTCCAGAATAAATGATGCAGACATTCTTGGCACTAAAAAAAAATTTCCTCTTTTCACTTGTTATGTCTCTAGGCCTCTCTTATATTATGCTTGCTTTCCATTTTGAATTTTTATTCACACAAAAAATAGAAGATTTAATGTACGCAGATTACAGCATTATTGTAGTAATTGTATAAATAATGTCAGTGCATTTGCAGACAGGTATTAGACAGACCAGTTGGACCAGTATTGGACGAGTGATGTAATTTGTGTACTCTGGAATAATGGCAAAAACTGAACATTTCTGCTACTCTGAGCTCAATTTCAAGCTAATGTCAGTCCTGAAACCAATCAAAATTATCTCTATCTCTGTAATATATCTTCCATTCTATCAAATGAGACCAAAAAACATGAAATACAACTATAAAAACCATAAAAAAAAAACACCGCAGTCGCTGTTTTAAACCAAAAACATGGTCACAGTTTTTTTCCCATTATGCACTGCTTGCTGCAGGATTCTTTTAACCCCTTCAGGGTCCAAGGCCAAAATCTGAAGTGGTGCTCCAGTGTCCAAGAAATTTTGAAAAAAAAACAAAACAAAAAAAAAAAAAATTTCTTCTTACAGAATTAAAGGTAATAAGACAAAAAAGAAAATTCTGATCAGTACTTACCGAGATACAGTGCCAAGAAGTTTGTCCAAAATGATGTGGTGGCGGCAACATCGACGAATTCCACATACGCACATTACTTTATTTAGCAGTTTTTGTAGTTTTTTCTTTTCTTTTCCAATTTTTTTCTATTCCTACTAACATTTGGGGCCTGAGAGACCAATACTGTATATAATGTATATATATAAACTCACTGTATTGAACACAATAACCGCACTAAAGTTATTATCATATTATTGTTTACCACTGTTGTTTATTACAATAAACATGCACAAATCTTGTATAATACTAATGTTCTATCATATATTTACATATTTACAATCACTGGACATGGTTTTAGAACTGCTGGAGCTTGTGGAACTCCTTGAAACAAGGCACCATGCACAGAGGCACCTTACATTCCTCACACATAAACCCAGTGTCTTTGCATCTTTGTTGCCGTCGTTTTGTTTGTGCACAGACGATGCATCTCTTCTGAGCAAATTTCTTCTGAGTTGAAGGAAGCTGTATTGTGAAATGATCACCTTCCCTCCTCAAACGCTTGGGTATATCCTGAGGAGTTCGAGGACCTTGTTGTATAGCAGGTGTTGTTACCTGGTACTTCATTATGAGTTGTCTGACAACAGACAAACAAAATTCACCATACGGTGGTCTGTTGCCAGTCTTTATTTGGTACATATTATATGCATTGAGCATTGAAATGTCCATGAGGTAGAAGAAAAGTTTCATGTACCACTTGTAACTCTTACGAACACAATCAACAAAACCAATCTGCATGCCACATTTGTCAACCAAGTGCATGTTTTGTGTATAATCAATCACTGTCACTGGTTTTCGAATACGTTCATTAGTCACTCGATCAACTTTGCCACTGTCTTGCATTTCATTACGGTGAATGGTTGTCAACAATGTGACATCTCGTTTGTCATGCCACTGTAATGCCATGATGTCAATGGCAGTAAACACCTGCACATCATCACCACGAGCACCTGCGTTGAGCCTGGGCATATGTTTATGATTAGAACGCACTGTGCCACACACATCTGTCTTGTTCACTTGCATAAAATCACTGAGTAATGGGCTTGTGTACCAGTTATCGGTATATAATGTATGCCCCTTACCAAGATAAGGTGCCATCATGTTTCTCATTACGTCACCTGAGATACCCAATAACATCTTGGTATCTTTCAATGTTTTACTACCCGTGTATACAACAATATCCAACACCAGGCCACTGTCACAGTCACAGAGTACAAACAGTTTTATACCAAAGCATTTCCTCTTGTTCGGTATATACTGCTTGAATGACAGTCCACCTTTGAACAAAATCAAAGACTCGTCAATTACAAGATTCTTGAATGGATAAAAGTATATGCTGAACTTTTGTTTGAGATGCATAAAAACATTTCTAATCTTGTATAACCTGTCACTTCTGTCAGGCCTGGTTTTGTCAGAGAAGTGCAACATACGTAACAGTAAGATAAACCTGTTCACTGGGATGATTTCACTGAAGACCGGGGTAGAAATTAGCCGATCTGTGGACCAGTATGCTTTTATATTATGCTTATAGACATGAGGCATACGCATTATTGTTGCAAAAAGCAAATACATTTCTGCAACAGTTGTCTCTTTCCACCTGTGTAGTCTTGACTGTGGTGATATGATCGTATTTGCCATGGTGTACTCAAAATACTTATTACTTTCCCTGACAATAGTTTCCATCAATGGCTGGTCAAAGAATAATTCAAAGAATTCCAGTTTATTGGCTGTGGTTCCAAGGGGACAAGTAGGTAGAATTCCACTTTGAGAGTCATCAAAGTGGTGGGGCTTGGGAACAAAATTGGGATTTTGCTGCTAATCCCAGATACGGTTTGCTGGTGGATACTGGACATCATAGGCTGGTTGTTCGGGTGGTTGTGGTGGGCTGGTGGCTGACGCTCCACTTTGTCCTTGAACTGACGAGTCAGCAATGTGGGTCCCAGCCTGGGCTCCTCACTATCACTATCTAAACCTGGTGTAGGGCCACGGGATGTACTCCGGGATGTACTCCGTCCCCTGGGCACAGCATAGGGTACACTACCCGAGAGCATGCGGCGGCATACATACCGACGCTTCACTGGTGAATATGATTCCTCACTATCACTACTCGAATGATCGTCAAGCGCAATAAAATCACAATCCACATCACTATCATCATCATTACTGAAGTCAGAGGCCTGGCCACGCGAAAATATTAGTTTTCTCTTGCGTTGAGGCACAACCGACCATGAGTCACGAGTGTCCACACCAGAGGTAGAAGGTTGAGGATCGTCAGGGTTTTCTGCACTATTATCGATATCCTGGTCATTCCTTTCGGTCACTAACTGATCAAAGCCATAGAATTCGTCTTCATTTCCACTTCCATTAGTGTCAGAGCTATCAGATAGGAAGAGGAGAGTCCCAATTTTCCGGGGAGTGAGAGCAGACTTGCGACGAGGCATGGTGAACAAGGGTAACTGAGCCGGCGTTCCCACAATGCTATGCGGGCGCCTAGATTTTTTGTTTATGGTGCACACCCACCACGCAGACCCGTATGGGGCTCTGGTGGCCTGGTGGCTAACGCTCTCGCATCACACGGCGAGGGTCTGGGTTCGATTCCCAGGCAGAGTAGAAACATTGGACGTGTTTCTTTCCACCTGTTGTCTATGTTCCCCATCAGTAAAATGGGTACCTGGGCGTTAGTCGACTGGTGTGGGTCGCATCTTGGGACACTGACCTAATTTGCCCAAATTATACCGAAATGCAGAGCATAACAAGGGACTTTCTATATAGTAGTATGTCATTGTTGTCAGCTAGGACTGTATACCTTGTACATGTACTTGTAGTAAATAAAGATATTATTATTATTATTATTATTATTATTATTATGTAGGCCTATGAGCGCTTTCGCGCTAAATTTGACGGCGATAGAATTTTGGCGTAGATCTACAGTTTGGACACTCAACGTGAAGCCGTAGATCTATGGGTCGGACCCTGAAAGGGTTAATATGGTGCACACTTACCACACAGACCAGTTCTCTTGTAACTAGGCCCAAATTTATTGCTCACAGATTATCTGAGTGAATTGAGCTCATGTAGTACTACAGGACCAACCCGCACTTCAAAGCTGTAGTACAATGGGACCCAACCCAAAAGTGTTAAAAACAAGACAGGAAACCTAAATAACTTGCCACCATACACGTATAGAAAAGCAGCACGTGCTGCCGTCCATTACTGCAATTCTGTTTAACAAACATTCCCATCCAAACTCAAGATAGGAAGGGTTACCCTGATCCTCAAAAGAGGCAATCCAACTGAAGTGAATAACCTGCCCTTACTATCTAAAAATCTTCAAAAAATAATACATAAGCGAGTTTACTCTTACCTAATATCTCTCAACATACTTAACCCCTGCCAGTTTGTGTTTAGGCAAAAAAAAGTACAAATGATGCAGTTGTACAAATGCTCAAACTGCTATATGCAGCACTTGAAAAAAATTAATATCCCCTGGGGGCTCTTCACAGACCTATGGGAAGTATTCAATACTGTGGACAACAATATCTTGCACCTTAACCGTTTGAGGGTCCAAGCCATAGATCTACGCCTTGTCCACAGGGTCCAAGAATTTTCAAAAAAATTTTTGTTATTTTTTCTTATGAAATGGTAGAGAATTTTTTTCCAAAGGTAATAAAAACAAAAGTACAAAATTTGAGGGAAAATTGAAAAAATTTTAT